TCAGCCTTCCTTAATCAGTGTCCAATGTTCACGTGCATCAGAGGTCACGGAAAACTTAGTCCTCAAAGTGACCTCCGTGCTTTCAGCACTTTCCGGAGGTCTTGTGCAGCAGGTTGACCGGAGGTGATGCGTCTTTTGAAAGATACCAGCTCAGAAAGAGGTTTTTCTCCATCACAGGGAGCCCGTGGGAGTTGAAAATCGACTTAACAGCACCTAATAAGAAGCCCTGGTGGTGCTGTGGATTAGGGGGGTGTGTGTGTGTGTGTGTGTGTGTGTGTGTGTGTGTGTGTGTGTGTGTGTGTTCGTCCGGGTCGACTAGAGAAACAGATCCAGGGAGACTCGCATGTGTGTAAGAGAGAGCTTTCTATCAAAGAGTAATTGCATGTTAAGAAAACATCCCAGCCCAGTCCAGATCAAGTCCATAGTTCTGATATTAGCCCATATGTCTGATATCAGTCTATAAATTCCTCTTCAGACTCATGCAACACATGCAATGACGCTGAATGCAGGAAGATCACAGGCCAGTGGGTGGAAAGTCTTGTGGATCCAGTGGCGGTGGAAGCATCTCGGCGCTGGTGTGGGTCTCCACGTGGCTCCTCCAGCTCCTCTGGCTCCATCAGCGTAGCTCCATGTGGCTTGTCAACAGGAATGTCTCACAGGGAGAGAGCATGTATCTGTCCTCCAGTGAGCTATTTATCTCCATTTGTACCTCCCAAATGAGGTCATCAAGCTGCGACCAGATTGACAGGCTAGATTCCACCCCTTCGCAAGCTGACAGATTATGTAACTGCCACACTGTGGCACTGCTAGACACAAAGCTAGCAGTTCAAACCTGCCAGCCACCCTGGGGGAGACAGATGAGGCTGTCTGTATCCTTAAAGATTTACAGCATAGGCTGCCAAACCTATTTCGCCTACTGCCCACTTTTCAGGGGGGAAAAACAACTCAGCACCCCTCCCCTCAATGAAAAAACGTTTGCACTCTAACCCCAGTCCAGGATAGAGAGCAGGTATCTGCTTCTGCAGTACCCCCACCCATCGTTCTAGCTCCCAGGCTGGGGCCTGTATCACTGGCTCAGTCTTGGGGACGCCAGGTACAGTCACCATGAGTTTGAATCAGCCCGATGGCAGAGTGCTGGGGTTTTTTTGGTGAATGAGAACAAATAGAGTTTGTTTTTGTTATCCCATCTCATGGGTGTTGGCCATTCTTCGGGAAAGTTCTTCAGCACCCAGGAATCAGGGCAGCACTGGGCACGAGCAGGTGGCTGGAGCTCTGCCAGGTGGAAGGTGAGCTGTGTGGGACCAAGGTCCACCGACAGCCGACGAAGAGGCTTGCAGTCCGTTAGCCTCAAATACTGGGGCTTGATGGCTTAGTGGTTCCACACTGGGTAGCTAGCCACAAGGCCAGCAGTTCAAAACCACCAGTCTCTCTGGGAGAGAAAGACGAGGCTTTCTGTAAGTTACAGTCTCAGAAACTCACAGAGGCAGTTCTACTCTGTACTGCATGGTCACTACGAGGCCGCGTGGACTCAATGCCAGTGAGTTTCATTTGTGTGTGTGTAGGGGGAGGGGGTGGGGTCTTAGGTCTTCTTAGAATCCTTCTCCTGCCACCCCACCCTCGGCCATCTGCCTGGAGGAGTTGCCATGCTGGACCCTCCACTCTGAGACCACCAGCTGCATGAAGACGTCGCTGTCCCTGTCCCTGCCTCTGGGCCATGCCCTGTCTAGCCACAGCAAACCCCCCGCCCCCCTTGCCCTCAGGACTTGCTCACGGACCCCAGTGGGTGGGGGCAGGTGCTCAACACTTGTCCTCAAAGCCTGGGGCCTCGCTGGCCAGCCGGTCCCGGCAGCTTTTGCTTCCCCGTGGCTGCAAGTGGGCCTCGGTGCGCGCCTTCCACTCACGCTGCCCGCCCGCCTTCCTGCCCGGCAGCCAGAACCAAAACAAACCGTTCTGTTCCTCCCGAAAAACACAAATAAATAAGTCATCCAACGCTCGCCTTCTCCCTGTCACGGCTCCGCCCCTGCAGACTCACTGCACAGGAGGGGCAGCCCCGGGTGGGCCTGGCTGATCCGGCTCTTCGCTGGCCCCAGATCCAGCCCGGGGGGCTAGGGGTCCTGGCTGGCCTTCCCCGTGCGTGTCCCTCCCCATGGGGGGCGCAGGACACCTGTCATCACCCGAGGAGGTGGGCTCAGGCTGGCGGGTAGTCTGGGCCTCAGCCTCCAGTCTGCCTCAGAGTCACCACGGGGACTACGGGGTTGCTAACCACACGGTCAGCAGTTCGAACCCACCCGTCTCTCTGTAGGAGAGAGACGAGGCTCTCTGTTCTTGTACAGCGTTGAGGCTCCAGAAACCGACTGGGGCAGTTGTCCTCTGTCCTCCATGGTCACCGTGAGTGGGAAATGCCTGGATGGCACGGAGTGTCAGGGATCTTACCCCAGGACCCCTGGACTCGTGGTGGTGGCAGACCACAAAGGGTCAGAGTCATCGTGTGTGTGTGGGGGGGGCGGGGGGATCATCCAGAAGCCAGGGGACTCTGCCTGCCCTCCTCCCCACACACACACCTGGGGCCACTTTAGAACCTCTGCACAAGGCCAGGTCCTGCCCCATTCCTTGGCCTGTCCTAGGCACAGTTCCAGGAGTCCCCACCTCCACTGTCCCTGACCCCACCTTGGAGGCCCCACCTGGGCCAGTTCACTGGCTCAGTTTCTTCCGAGGTCCCAGAGCCCGGGCAGCTGGGAGGTCAGGTGGAGGGACTGGAGCAGCCCCAGGCACAGTCCCTGGACTGACGGTCAACGTGGCAACCCTGCCCCCACCATGTGGTCACTGGCAGGTCCTGCACACCATCCAGGCTGCTCTGCACCCCACAGGCCCCGCTGCCCTCAGAAGGACCCCCAGCCCTGCCACCCCCTGCCTACGAGGCCCTGCCAGCTGGGTTCCATCCCCAGGCTCCCTGCACCTCCTCCTGGGCCCAGACCTCGATTTCCTCTGGCCTCAGAGGCCCTACCTTCTTAAACACCTGTGAAAGGAGCCAAAGTCAAAGTCAGCCCTGAAACCACCTTCCATGAGGCCCAGGAGCAAGTGTGATGGCAAAGGTGGTGGGAGCACCCAGCACCGCTGTGAGCTCTGGGTTCTTGATTGTGGAGAGGGAAGAAGACAGCTCAGGGGGCGGGTGTAATAGCAAGAGAAGGGGCCTCTAGACATCCCACTGCCAAGTGTTCAAACCCACCAGCCGGTCCCTGGGAGAGAGAGGAGGCCGCCTGCTGCGGGTAGATCCACAGCCTCGGAAACCCAAGGAGCATCAAGCCTCCATCCGACAGGGTCACTGGGACTTGGAATTGATTTGGGGGTACATTTTCGGTTTCCCAAATGGGGTAGGGGGTGTGAGTTGTTTGCATTGCATGGGTAGAGGCCAGAGGTGAGGCTCCACATCCTATAGTGCTTAGGATAGGACCCTCCTCCATCCCCGGCCAAGACTCACCCCCTCCCTAACATCAGCAGGGCCTCGGTGAGCTTCCCAAACTCCTCCCTGCCCTGAGTCACCTCCCAGGCAGATTGAAGCAACTTCCAGAACAGCTGTGCTGGCTCTTGGCTCCAGCCCCTGCGGGCTGCCCTGATGGGCTGCATGCCCCAGCCTGGCCTGCCTCATGGGGCCCCAGGGAGCGTGTGCACTGAGCAGTGCGGGAGGCTCCAGGAGGAGCTGCAGGTGAACTTGGTGATGTGATAGAAACAGTGCCTGGCCCACAGCCGACACCCCAGAAACGAAGCCCAAGTCCAAGCCCCAACTCTTCAGCATCCACCCCGGAGGCCCAGTGCGCTGAGTGGGCGGGGACACCTGACATCTGTCCACATGAGCAGATCACAGAAGCCCTGGGCTTCCACGTCTTGGGGAAGTCTGGCTGCTGTGCCGAGCCCTGCCCGGCTTTCACCCGGCACTTGTTACATTGCCAGGGCTCCACTCCACCTCCCGCAGGGGATCAGTCTTTGGCCTTATAAAACGCTGGGGTCAAATTCCAGTCCCCCAATTCCAGGGCTGAGCTTGCCGAAAGACTTCACACATGGAATTATTCTAAGGCCTGAGCAGATGGCAAGATATTCAGGGGACGCTCCAGTGCATTTGAGGCAGGCGGGCTGGTGGGAGGAGGGAGATCTGGACAATAGGGTTTCCTGTCTCCTGTCTGACCCCACGGAAGAGGCAGAGCCCCCTGAGTGAGCACAGAGTGGCTCAGGCCCCACCATCAGGCAGAGAGATGGGTCCAAGCCCCAGCCCACCACCTCTCAGCATTTCGGCTTCGTCATCCAACAGTCCTCAACAAACACTCCTTTTTCAAGTCTTAAGATTTAAAGAAGAAAACCACATCCGTCCATCTCTTGCGCAGAGTCTGCCTCTGACTTGCTGAAGAAACTACGTCCGGAAGCATCCCTGTGACAGTCGGGCAGATGATGAGACGTGTAAGCAATGAGAGAGGCTAGCCTGTGTGATAGGACAAGAAAAGAGGAGAGCCGCCAAGGACAGACAGACAGAGGCGGTCAACTCCTGGTTGCCATTGACATCATTGGAAGCAGAAAGGGGTGGATGAAAAACAGCTTTGGGCAGCTAAGAAAAGGCGGGAAGGTGGCAGAGTACAGAGTTACAGAATAGAAGTCATTTGTCATCTGAGCCGTAGTCAGAAGGAAGAGTGGGGGAATAGGCCCTATTTACAATTTCAAAATCACAGTAAAATAAATCCGGGCTGTTGAGTCGATGTAGACTCATGGCAAGTCTGTCAGACAGAGTAGAACTGCCCTGTGGGTTTCCCAGACTGCAAATCTTCACAGGAACAGAAAGCCTCATTCCCACCTGGAGAACGGCGGGTGGGTTTGAAAGGCTAACCTTACAGTTAGCAACCTAATGCATATCCACTGTGCCACTGGGGGCCTCTTTCCAGGGGGTGAGACTTGGGGGCAGGGGGTGCTGGTCGGGCCTCAGTGGGGGTCCCTGGCGCTGGGGCTTCAGTACTCACTTATGCATGTAGCCCTCGGAGGTGGCCGTGAGGTTGGCCTGCATCACCGCCTGGAACTCCGTCTCGTTGCAGCAGTACTTGAAGACCGTGTTGTTGTGGTGGCAGCAGAGGACAAAGGTCTTGTTGTCTGAGAGGCGGGGGCAGTGGAAGCCGAAGTGGTAGCGGCCCTTGTGGTCGGTGTAGGGCTCACAGACCCGGAAATGCGCGGACAAGACTGAAAGACAGAGTCGCCAGGCTGGGAGGGGGCCACTGTCCCCAAACCTCCCACCTCTTCCTCCCACCCCCTCACCAAAGCCTGTCACTCCGTAAACCACCTCTTTGGAGAACCTGCCTCTGGGCTCCTCTTCCAATGACGGGGGGAGGGGAGGGTCATCAAGCCAGCAGGGTGGCCTCTTCGCCCAGGGACCCTGCTCCCTTCCGGCCAGGAAACCCACGTGGAGCGGGCCCCTGCTCCAAGCCAGGTGCTTTCACGGGCTCTATCAGGCCACGAGAGCAGGCAGGGCAGCGCCCCACTAAGCAGATGGAGAAACTGAGGCTCTGAGTTCTCAAGTGACTTGCCTAAGACCACGCAGCGGCTAAGGGGTGGCGGTGGAGCCAGCTTCTGACTTGGGATCCCAAGCCCAGCATGCCCTGGGGTCCCTCTGGCTGGTGGTGGCAGTGGTGGAAGGGGCCTCCACTTGATGCTGACTCGTAGCGATCCCATGGGGCCGGGGAAGATGTTGACTCAC